TTAAAGCTGAAAAAAAAAAAAACAAGGTATACATTTTACCTATTTGTCACAGGCAACAGACCACTTCAGGCACATAAATAGTCATGCGTCATTTAATAATGGGGATATGTTCTGAGGAATGCAGTGTTAGGTGATTTCATTGTTGTGCAGACATCATAGAGTGTACTTACACAAACCTAGAAGTATAGCCTAGTCTACATGTAGGCTACAGCATATTCCACCTAGGCTACAAACCTGTACAGCATGTTAGTGGACTGAATACTTTAGGCAACTATAACATAATGGTAATAAGTATTAGTGTATCTAAAAATGTTGAAACAGAAAAGGTACCATAAAAATACAGTACAAAAGATAAAAAATGGTACACCTGTGTAGGGCCCTCACACATGCATGGAGCTTACAGGACTGGAAGTTGCTCTGGGTGAGTCAGTGAGTGAGTGGTGAGTGAATGTGAGGGCCTAGGCCATTACTGTACACTGCTGCAGACTTTATAAACACTGTACACTTAGGCTACACTAAATTTATAAAAAAAAATTTCTTTCCTCAATAGTAAATTAACCTTAGATTACTGTAACGTTTTTGCTTTATTAACTTTTTAATTTTTTTAACTTTTTTACTCTTGTAATAACTCTAAGCTTAAAATACAAACACATTGTATAGCTGTACAAAAATATCTTCTTTCTTTATATCCTTACTCTATAAGCTTTTTTCTATTTGTAAATTCTTTTTTTTTTTTTACTTTTTCAACTTTTTGGTTAAAAACTAAGACACAGACACACACATTAGCCTAAGCTTACACAGGGTCAGAATCACCAATATCACTGTCTTCCATCTCCACATCTTGTCCCACTGCAAAGTCTTCAGGGGCAATAGGATTTTTTTTTTTTTTTTTTTTTTGAGACAGAGTCTCACTGTGTTGCCCGGGCAAGAGTGAGTGCCGTGGCGTCAGCCTAGCTCACAGCAACCTCAAACTCCTGGGCTCAAGCAATCCTTCTGCCTCAGCCTCCCGAGTAGCTGGGACTACAGGCATGCGCCACCATGCCCGGCTAATTTTTTCTATATTTTTTAGTTGTCCGATTAATTTCTTTCTAATTTTTAGTAGAGATGGGGTCTCGCTCTTGCTCAGGCTGGTCTCGAACTCCTGAGCTCAAACAGTTCGCCCGCCTTGGCCTCCCAGAGTGCTAGGATTACAGGCGTGAGCCACCGCGCCCAGCCGGCAATAGGATTTTTTTAGCTCCATTATAATCTTATTTATGATACCCCCTCATATATTTGGTGGTCACTGACCAAAACATCATTATGTGGAGCATGATTGTAGTATATTAGCACATATTTAATCCATTTCTATCTCTAATTCATATACTCATGTGGTTAGATGAAAATTTAAAAAATGTTACACATGCACACTGCTATCTTACAGAAGCATGAAAATTGGTTAAGCTTAAAAAGGATGAAACAGAAGATTTTAAAAACTGATGGACTGTCAAATTAAAAATGAAGTTACAAATAGTTCAGCAGCCTGACTAGCAAAGTGAAAAAGAACTGAAAGCAAAAGATGATACAAAGTGTCAGGGTTAAGAGCAATAAAGTAAAAAAAAATTATATAAATTGTAAAGCAATTTCCCAAAACAAACAAGTAAGGCTGCACTGTTGAACTTTGAGAATTTCTGTTTCGTATTCGGCCTGTTTTATGACCACTTAAATCCAATTAATGCTCATGCAGGTCAGTCACAATTATTAATTAGAAATGAAAGGGACTGAATTTAACTTAATGGTTCACGAACACCACGAAAGTCCATATAAACAAAGATAAATAAAATCTAGAACATTTTAACATTAGGAAGGACGACAGCTCAGGGTAGAGCCATACACTATACCTCATTGTATTTACACCAGTCACAACTCAAAATCTCTGTCTGATGTGCTGGAATCACTATTCTGACTCCTGTTGCCTTCACATCCCAAATTCTCAGAGTCTGATCACCTGGTAAAAAAGGAAAACTTGATCACTTTCCATCACACCACTTACATGCTCCGTGACAATGTGCTCATAATGATAAATCAAATAAAAATACACTGCTTTTTACTGTTACCATCTTTATATATTTTTTAAACCATAATAATGCAGAATAACCATTCAAACTGAAGGAATACAAGAAGTAATGCTGCAACACGATAATGCTTTTAGATCTACTTAAAGAGGAAAATTTCAATCTTCACACTGAGACAAGCACAATAGTGACTAAACACACCCAGTATGTTTTTATTTAGGGCAAGAAAAGGACCTGAAAATCCTCATGTCTAGGAAATAAACTTAGCACTCTGTACCAGGATAGTCTATAAGAAAGAAACAATATGGTAGCAGTTTTACTCTCCAAGCCAAAATGGAGAATTTTTTACTTTTAGTTTTTATGTACGCTACGTTGTAATGGGCCAGTTAGATGTATATTGTTCTCCTTAGAAAAAACAAACTAAAAAAATTTAAGGATTATATTTTGCATTATTAAAAAAATGGTCTGCATTGCTTAACTGCACAAAGTCATCCCTGATTAAATGGCTTATATGTTGTTTGCTTCTAATTTTTCTAATCCATGGGGAAATAAAAAAAAATGATACAATGAATAAAATCTAGAATATACACATCTACCTCAAAAGTAAAATATA